GGTCCTAGGCCTGAGAGCTGAGTCACGTTCCCCAGGCTCCCCTCCCTGCGGTCTGACTGCACTGGTGCTGGGCGGTGACCAGGCCGGGCTGGGGCACTGCTGTGGGGTGTGGGGAGGCTGGGTGGGAGAGCAGGCGGATGATAGCGGGCTCCGGAGTCTGCAGCCGGCTGACGGGAGCCTTCCCGACCCTGAAGCGCCGAGGCCGATGAGTGAGGGCAGGTGGACCCCTGGTCTCCAGGTGTGCAGGCGGGACAATGCACCTGTCCGTGTGCGATGCCCGGGGCCAGGTGGGGAGGAGGGCAGGGCAGGTGCCTCTCGCCACAGGAACCCCCAGGGAGGGAGTGCAGCCTTGGGGAGCGGGAACGCCCCCTTCCTGTGCAGCACCTGTGTTACTCCTGGCTGCACACCCTACCCAGTCCCCGTGTGTCCCAGGGAACCCAGGGCAAGCTTTGGTCCAGTCTGGAGGCAGAGCACCAGCAGGGAGAGAAGTTCACTGACCACGACTGGCCAAGGAGGACAGTGGGAGTGGACACGGGCACGGAGCCACCTGGAGAGCCCACCCGCGGAGTCTTAGCCTGGGTCTTCCTTGAGGGAAGGCGGCTTTTTAAGCTTTGGGTGTTGGTGTACCAAGAGGTACAGGCGGCTGGGTGCTTCTCTTTCCCTGCTTGTTTCCATGACAAATGTGATTCGCAGTCGACGGGGCCGGCATTGGGGTGCAGCGGGCTAAGCTGCTGCTTTTGATGCGGGCATCCCATACTGGGGCTCAGGCTGGAGTCCCGGCTGCTCCGCCTCCCATCCAGCTCCCCGCTAATGCACCTGGGAAGGCGGCGGAGGACGGCCCACGTGCTTGGGGCCCTGCACCCATGTGGGAGACCTGGACAGAGTTCTAGGCTCCTGGCTTTGGCCTGGCTCAGTCGTGGCTGTTGATGAAGGTACCTCCTCCCTCCCTCTCTCTGCTGCTTTCAAATAAATCTATTTTTAAAGTCTGTGTCGTCTACAACACCCACATCCTCACGTGTTCTTTCAGTCCCTTCCTGGGTTTCCCGTGGTTTCCCACCGAGCTCACACTGACATCTCCCGCCTCCCTGATGGTGTTGGCCCTTTAAGACATGGTTAAGCTGGGGGCGGGGCAGCCCCAGTCCCGGACCTGCCAGATCCGTGAGCCCCAGTAAACCATCCGGGCGCGGATCTGTGTTGTAGCGACAGGGCCCCCTCGCCCCCATCGGCACTGCTGTGGGTCTGTGAGTGTGCACTCCTGCTCCATCGGCCCTGTACCTGGGGCCGGGGGCCACTGCGGGGCCCGGTGGGCAGGGAGGGCTGAGTCCCGACTCCGCCGAGGTGGAGGTGTGAGCCGGGGGCCGACACCTCACGCTGGCTCCCCTCGTCCCGGTTTGCTGTGGCGGCGGCCACCTCCCGCAAACACAGCAGCTGCAAACAGCGCACTTTGTCCTGGAGGCCAGGCGTCCACTGTGGCTCTCGCTGGGCGAGGGTCAAGGCGCCGGGCAGGCCTGGTCCTCCGGGAAGCCCCGTTTCCCGGCCTCTCGCAGCCCCTAGATGTCGCCCGCGTCCTCAGAGCTGGCAGCGTAGCCTCTTCCCAGCTCCGCCTCCCTCCTACAGGGGCACCTGAGCCGGCCCTGAGCCCAGCTGGACTGGACAGCCCACAGTGGTCCCCCCACGTGAAGATCCTTGGCTTGAGCCCCTCTGCCCCATACTCACAGGCTTAGGGGACCAGAACGTGGGCATCTGTGGGGGCTTGATTCTGGGGACCACAGTCTTTGATGTGGAACCGGCTGCCGTGGTGTCCAGCTGCGAAGGTGCACGCTTGGCGCCCGGCATGCAGGGGGCGCTGCGCTGATGTTGGCAAACCTGGCTCGTTCCCCACCTGCCGGGGTTACGATCCGTGCGTGGGTGGACGGGCGCACTCTTCCCCAGGAAACATCACCCCCACCCGACAGGAAGCTCTGCTCCACCTACTGCTGCATCAGGGGCCTCGGTCCTCACCGGGGGCCGGAGAGAGGCGGCTGTGGAACTGGAACTGGACAGGTGAGCCTCGGGGAATTGAGAAAAGGATCCGAGCGTGGGAGGCAGCTGGCGTTTCCGCAGTGGTTTAACCAATGCCCCAGAACAGAGGGCGCAGGTGCCACCAGATGCCCCCTGGGGAGCCGGGGCAAGGGCGCCCTCCTGGGGTCTGGACACTGAGCCCCAGGCCCCTCCCAGAGCTCATGGCAGACCCTCCTGTGCCGCTCAGAGGCCGCTGCTAGTTCTTGGAAGCCTTGTGAGACCCCCACCTGCCAGACCCTCCCTGGGGGTCCCAAAGCCCTGAGGGGGAAAGGCCCAGCCCACAGCAGGCAGCCTCATGTTGTACTTTCAAAAAAGTATTTATTTATTTATTTATTTAAAGCCAGAGTTAGAGAGGGGAGATGATGCCAGGCCATCGCTCACCTCAGGAGCCCCCCAACCTCGCGGTCTAAGATGTGGGGGGGGGGGGCAGTTGTGTAACCCGGATGCCAGCCCCTGCCCTCGCAAAGCAGCAGCCTCGGCCCCCAGCAAGCCTGAGTCCACAAAGCCCGCCAGGCCCGGCGATCGGTCCAGCGAGGCCAGTGGCACCCGATCCTGGCTCTGCACGGCTGCACCGAGCAGTCCCCAGGGGCCGCCCAGAACCAACAGCCACGGCAGCACCAGCCAGGCTTCTCGGGAGGGAGGTCCTCTCCCCGGTGCCCCTCCCGGGCCTCACTCCGGCTGTCCGCAGCCACCTCCCACCCTCCCCTGGGCTGCCTCCTCCCAGTCTCTCCTGGACCCCTCCCAGGCCAGCCCCGCCCCCTCCTGGGAGTCCTCCTGGCCTTCTCTCTCCCAGGGGCTGGAAGGAAGCCCCTCCCTTTCTCCTCCAGGCTCTCCCCGTCCTGACCGGGGGCCACTGGCCCACTCCCAAGGTTGTGCCGGTCTGAAGCTGTGCCCTGGTCTGATGCACGGGACAGGGACAAGCGACTGCTCCGCATCACAAGGCAGCAAATATCTGTTCAAGGGAAGCGTGAGGCATGCGGGGATCAGCAGGGTGAGCAAGGCAGGCTTGGGAGCCTCACAGCAGGGGCCTGTGTGTGTGGGGGGCCCTGGGGCTGAGAACAGAGGTCTCTGCTTGGATTCGGCTCCAGCCCCGCCCCTGCTGGCTCTGCTCACGGGCCTGTTTCTCTCCCGGGGGCGGGGCCTCTCAGCGCCTCCTCCAGGTGTGGGGAGGCCCACAGGCGGTCACTTTTGCTAGCTCAGAAAGCGCCAGGTGGCTCCCCCTGCTGGACAATCGGTGGTGAGTCTGGGGCAGCGTGGGCCGGGGCCTGCACTTGTGGCCTCGGGGGAACAGGGAGAGGGGACTGGGCGACCGGGAACCCCACCTCACTGCCCACGAGAGCGCGTTCCTCCCAGCTCTCCTGCACGTGCGCCCCAAGGCAGGAGACGGGATGAGTGACCGTGCAGGGACGCCCTCGCCAGCCAGGTGGCCAGGCCACGGAAGAATCCGTGGCCGGGGGCCGGGGTCGTGGCACAGCAGGTTGAGCTGCCTTGTGATGCTGGGACCACACATCGGAGCTTCCGCTCCAGCTCCCTGCTAATGCCCCCGGGAAGGCAGAGGGGACGACCCAGGCCGGGACCCCGCCACCCGCGTGGGAGACCAGGATGGACGTCCCGGCTCCTGGCTCTGGCCCGGCCCAGGCCCGTGGCCACCTGTGGAGGGGACCAGTGCATGGAAGATCCTGTTCACTCACCTTCGAATAAATAACCTGAGGGGGGGGCTTCTCACCGCACGTGAGGGCGCACGGGACGGGGTCCCACAGGCACCCGTCCTGACTCGCGTCTTTCCCACCTCCACAGCAACTTGAATTTCTTTTCTTTCTTTTTTTTTTTTTTTGACAGGCAGAGTGGATAGTGAGAGAGACAGAGAGAAAGGTCTTCCTTTGCTGTTGGTTCACCCTCCAATGGCCGCCGCAGCCGGTGCGCTGTGGCCGGCGCACGGCGCTGATCCGATGGCAGGAGCCAGGTGCTTCTCCTGGTCTCCCATGGGGTGCAGGGCCCAAGCACCTGGGCCATCCTCCACTGCACTCCCTGGCCACAGCAGAGGGCTGGCCTGGAAGAGGGGCAACCGGGACAGAATCCGGCGCCCCGACCAGGACTAGAACCCGGTGTGCCGGCGCCGCTAGGCGGAGGATTAGCCTAGTGAGCTGCGGCGCCGGCCCAGCAACTTGAATTTCTAAGACGGCGTGACTATCGGCTTCCAAAACAATACCCAAGGCAGAGAAGAGGAAGGGACAGCCATGCGGGCAGCGCCCACCGCCGGGCCACGCCCCAGACACCCCCCAGCCAGGGCCCCCCCCCCAGCCAGTGCCACCCACCCCAGCCAGGGCCACGCCCCAGACACCCCCCAGCCAGGGCCCCCCCCCAGCCAGTGCCACCCACCCCAGCCAGGGCCACCCCCTCCAGCCAGGGCCACGCCCCAGACCCCCACCCCAGCCAGGGCCACGCCCCAGACCTCCACCCCAGCCAGGGCCACGCCCCAAACCCCCACCCCATCCAGGGCCACGCCCCAGACCTCCACCCCAGCCAGGGCCACGCCCCAAACCCCCACCCCATCCAGGGCCACACCCCAGACCCCCACCCCAGCCAGGGCCATGCCCCAGACACCCCCCCAGCCAGGGTCATGCCCCAGACCCCCACCCCAGCCAGGGCCATGCCCCAGACACCCCCCAGCCAGGGCCACGCCCCAGATACCCCCCAGCCAGGGTGTGGCTGGGCTGGGCACAAGCAGAGCCAGGGACCTGCTGAGGTCCAGGATGCACTCTGTGAGTGCAGGCAGCAGGCAGCCCTGGCAGCTGGCCGCCAGAGGTTTCCCAGGAGCCCTCGGCGCCCCTCACGCCCGCGCTGGGCTGGTGAGGGGCTCTGCCCGCCGGCAGGGGCGTCGGTTCTGGAGCTCAGCCGAGCCGAGGGCAGAGCCCTGCACCTGCGGGAAAGGGGAGGGCTGCAGGCTTCACCACAGGATTTTATTCTGCCCGTTTCAGGACCCTGCCTTTCTGCTCCAGGGCAGAGCCCGGGGGGCTCAGGCCAGGCCCCCAGGCCCACCCCCCACCCACGGGACAGCAGGGCCGCGGCAGGCCTTGGTCAGGTGACCGGGCTCAGGCAGCGGGCACAGCCCAGGACGGGCTCACGGCCTCGCACGGGCGTGGACGCGGTTCTTTAAGAAACACACTCCACACGGAGGCTGAGGCGCAGGAGGGGCCCCGCAGACCGCGCCCGCAACGCCGGGAAGGGGGGGGGGCCACAGCGCACGCGCACGGGGGCGCCCTCAGGCCGCCGACAGGAAGGGGTAGAAGAAGAAGTCGAAGGCGAACTTGAGGGCGCCGTGCACGACGCTGCGCCAGTCGCGCTCGACCTTCACGTGGCGCTGGGCCGGCGTCAGCTGCGCCATGCAGTTGAGGCAGCTGATGGCCTTGAGCTCGAACACGGGCCACTTGCTGCCCAGGCGGCCCTCGAGAATGGTGCTGAACTCCACCAGGCTGCCCTGGCGCAGGCCGAGCAGCACGGCGCGGAACTCGCTGCTGGCGCGCAGCACGATGTCCTTGGTGACGTCGTCCTCCTCGTGGCCGCCCAGCGGCATGCCCACGGTGATCTCGAACTTGTAGCGGTCGAACCGCTTGATGTGGCAGGGGTGCTTGGCCAGCTGCTTGAGGCGGCACAGCTCTTCCTCGGCCGTGGCCGTGGCGCCGGGGCTGCAGGCCGGGTAGGCCTCGCCGTACAGGCAGCGCAGCCAGTCGCCCACGACGAAGGGCAGCATGTTGATGGCCGACTCGGCGCTGTTGTCGATCTCCGTCACCCGCACGTACTTGAAGCGGCCGGTCCACGTGACGCGGTGGCCCTCCAGGTGGCTGCACAGGATCTGCGTGCGGGCCATGTTGGTCTCCTTCCAGGCCCGCGGGCCACACAGGGCGCTGTACTGCGGCCAGGTCAGCGTGGAGTTGTACACCTTCATGCCCTCCGAGCGGTACACGTAGAACCAGCAGAAGAGGACGATGGCCGTGAGCCACACCAGGATGAGCTTGACCACGGAGCTGCGCGTCAGCGACTTGACCACGCCCACCACGGAGAAGCTGGCCCGGGTCCACCAGCGCAGGAGCAGGGGGACGCAGCACAGCGCCAGGGTCACGGCCACCTTGGTGAGCTCCAGCGACACGAACCAGCGGGCGAACTGCACCAGGCCCATGAGGGCGAGGCCGGCCGCCAGCACGGGCAGCGCGAACAAGAAGAGCAGGTAGCCGAGGGAGGCGCGCACCAGCCCCAGGCCCGTGGACTGCAGCAGGAGGACCACGCAGAGCTCGCACCACATGAAGCACACCAGGTAGGGCACCAGGTAGCAGTAGGTGCCCTTGAAGTCCCGCAGCTGGGCCATGCGGAAGAACAGGTAGAAGAGGTACAGGTAGAGCAGGCAGGGGAGGCTCACGTTGAGGACCACCAGGTGGCCCAGGGGCACGGTGCAGAAGGCCTGGCCCAGCGCCCTCAGGCAGCGGCTGTCCCCGGGCAGCGCGGGCAGCAGGGACAGCAGCCCGGCGGCCAGCTCGGTGAGCAGCGCCCGCCGCGTGTAGGGCTCGGCCGAGCTGCTCAGGCTCATGTAGCTGGTGGCGGTGAAGAAGGCGGCCACCACGGCCAGCTCGGAGCAGGGGATCCAGTCCTTGCTGGCCACAGGGAAGGAGAAGATGACGAAGACGACGGAGAGCAGGAAGTGGGCGTAGGGCTCCAGGTGGTTCCAGCCGAAGTTCACCTCGGCCTGCTCCACGTCCAGGTTGGGCTCGAAGCGCAGCAGCAGGTCGGTGAGCGTGCGGAAGTTCTCCCAGGCCTTGCTGTCCTGGAAGACCTTGAGGGTGCAGATGACCATGGACACGAAGGACAGGTAGAAGACCACCAGCGGGATGGCGAAGGCGAAGAAGTCCACGGTGAGGTTGCTGATGATGAAGAAGAAGAGCAGGGCGTTGACGTGGTGCGTGGGGACGATGGTGGACAGCCAGTGCATGCCCGCCTTGGAGGCCACGTCGATCAGATACTCCTTCACCTCCATGATGGCGTGCAGTGGGTACTTCACCACCTGGGGGAGGGGAGGGCGCGTGGGGGGCCGGGCTGGCGTGAGCGCCCCTCGCCCCCCCACTCCGCAGTCTGCACCCCCCTCCAGGCCCCGAGGGGAGGGCGCGTGGGGGGCCGGGCTGGCGTGAGCGCCCCTCGCCTCCCCACTCCGCAGTCTGCACCCCCCTCCAGGCCCCGAGGGGAGGGCGCGTGGGGGGCCGGGCTGGCGTGAGCGCCCCTCGCCTCCCCACTCCGCAGTCTGCACCCCCCTCCAGGCCCCGAGGGGAGGGCGCGTGGGGGGCCAGGCTGGCGTGAGCGCCCCTCGCCTCCCCACTCCGCAGTCTGCACCCCCCTCCAGGCCCCGAGGGGAGGGCGCGTGGGGGGCCGGGCTGGCGTTGAGCGCCCCTCGCCTCCCCACTCCGCAGTCTGCACGCCCCTCCAGGCCCCGAGGGGAGGGCGCGTGGGGGGCCGGGCTGGCGTGAGCGCCCCTCGCCTCCCCACTCCGCAGTCTGCACCCCCCTCCAGGCCCCGAGGGGAGGGCGCGTGGGGGGCCGGGCTGGCGTGAGCGCCCCTCGCCTCCCCACTCCGCAGTCTGCACCCCCCCTCCAGGCCCCGGGTGCAGCCCCCACCTCCTGCAGGGGGAGGGGCGGGCCTCACGCGCTCCGATCTCCCCTGAGACCTGGAGCACCTCGGGGAGACCACCCGGCTCCCACTTCCCTCCCCAGGAAGCTCCCCGCTGGGCTGCCCAGAGCTCATGTCGCTGGGTCTCTGTGCACTGAGTGGGGACCTCACCCCCGGCCCCCAGCTCCACTTCCTCATCTGTTGTTGGGGGGGTGGCTGGGCTCTAAGGAGGGAGGCCGTGAGCACTCCCAGCGTGGAGAAGGAGTCCAGGGCCACCACACACCGTAAGGGTGCAGCCCGTCTCTCCTGCTCTCACATGCACACGCATGTGCACATCCACCCCAGACTCAGTGCACGCCCACGCTACACCACTATACACACGCGTGCACCCATCACTACACACGCACACACATACTCCATACTGCTCACGTGACACGAACCCCACACAGGCACGTGCCAGGGCAGCCCTCGCTCCCCGCCCCGCGTCCACTCCCAGGGCAAAGGTCAGAAGCAACTCCTGGCGCCACCACAAGCGAAGACGGACACAGGACAGAGGGTGGTGGGCCGGAAGGAGGGAGGCGGGGGCGATCCTGCGGTCCGGGGGACCCCACACCCTGGCTGTCTGTGCAGGGTGGAGACAGTGGTGCACACTGCCTGTCCTGCAGGGACCAAGGCCGAGGCCACCACCGGGGAGGAGCCTGGCTGTGCGCCCAGAGCACGCAGCGGACAGGAAGTAGTGGCCGGACACCCAACAGCGCCAGGCCAGGTGGGCAGTGCCAGCCTGTTCCACACCCTTGGGCAGCCTGTCCCCGGGTGGCCCCCTGGGGGGCCACGGAGGAACTGGCGCAAGCGCCCGGGTGACAGTGCTGGGATGCGCCCTGTCCCTGGAGGCGCAGGCTGTCGCTCGGGATGGTCAGAACCCCTGGAAGCCGCTGGCACAGCAGGTGCAAGACGCGGTGTCTGTGCACACACAGATGCACGCGTGAACAGCTTCACTTCCTGTCTGTGACAGTCTACTGGGTTTTTAAATATTTTTTTCTTGCTCTTTTTAAAAGTGTTCATTTTTATTTTATTTTCATGTACTTGAAAGGCAAAGCAACACAGAGACACCAGGGGCCGGTGCTATGGCGTAGCATGTAAAGCCGCCGCCTGCAGTGCCGGCATCCCATACGGGCACTGGTTTGAGACCTGGCTGCTCCACTTCCGATCCAGCTCTCTGCTATGACCTGGGAAAGCAGCAGAAGATGGCCCAGGTGCTTGGGCCCCTGCACCTGCATGGGAGACCCAGAGGAAGCTCCCGGCTTTGTATTAGTACAGCTGTGGCTGTTGTGGCCATTTGAGGAGTGAACTAGCCTCTCTCTGCCTCTGCCTCTCTGTAACTCTGCCTTTCAAATAAATAAATAAATCTGAGAGAGCGAGCAAGAGAGAGCGTGCGAGAGAGAGAGAGACCTTCCACGTGTTGGGTCACTTCCCAAATCCCTACAACAGCCAGGACTGGGCCAGGCTGAAATCAGGAGCCCAAACTCGCTCTGGGTCTCCCCTGTGGTCTTGAGCCGTCAGCAGGTGCACTGGCGGGGAGCTGGACCAGAGGCAGAGGAGCCGGGACCCAGGCTGGCACCGCAGTAAGGGATGTGGGGTCCCAACCACAGCTTGGTCCACCGGGCTCCGACGCCCAGTCCTGCCTCTGCTTTAGCCCAAGTACATAAGCGAGGAAACTACTCAGCAAGCTGGCGGCCCCCCAGCCCCCTCTGTGCCGCCCACACCACGAGCTGCACACCACACAAGTCCTTGAGTGCCCCTGACACCTGCCAGGGAGCAGCCGGCCCTTGTGGGGAGGGGCCCCCGCCTGGGAGCCGGGCAGGAGAGCTCGGTCCACCCCTGGGCGAGCCCTTGCCGCCGGCAGCACAGCCCCAGGTGCTACAGGTGCTCCCAGGCTGGGCCCTGAGACGTGTGGCCGGGCACGGCTGGGCCCTGAGAAGCCACCGCACGCCCGCACAGCCTCATCTCCCCTTTTGCCCCTGGGGTGGGGTCTCCTTTCCCAGGCCCCAGCGCTGTCCCCATCCATACGCTGTTTCTTGGGGCCCTGGCAAACGGGAGACTAAAAATCTTTCGGTTTACGAAATGTCAAGACCAGCGAAAACAAACTCTGCTTCGAGCAGAGACTCCTGCGGTGGGCGCCCAGGGGCTCCCTCTCACCCACCCCCGCCCCCGCAGGCCTGGATCTGGAACATTCTCGGTGGGAGCAGCGGGGGCCCGGGGCATCTGTCGTCTTCCTCCTCTCTCCGTTCTCTCCAAGGCCATTCAGAGTGGGAGCGGCTCCCGTGGGCAGAGAGGCCAATGACTCATTTTTCCCTTTTGCAAGACTGCGTGAGACGGACTGGAGCGGAGTCCCGGCGTCAGCACACAGCCCTGCTCGCCTCTCCCCAGACGCCTCAAATCTCTCCCCCAAGAGGACCTGCAGGCCTGGCACAGCACCGAACCCATCACCTGTAAGCCGGTGACAAGTGCACCAGGCTGGGGCCGGCACTGTGGCGTAGCAGGTAAAGCCATGGCCTGCAGTGTAGACACTGGTACCTGTCCCGGCTGCCCCACTTCCGACCCAGCTCTCTGCTGTGGTCTGGGAAAGCAGTGGAAGATGGCCCAAGGGCTTGGGCCCTGCACCCATGTGGGAGACCTGGAGGAAGCTCCTGGCTCCTGGCTTCGGCCTGGCCAGCTGTGGCCATTGCGGTCATTCGGGGAGTGGACCAGCAGATGAAAGATACCCCTCTCCCTCTCCCTCTCCCTCTGCCTCTTTGTAACTCTTTCAAATAAATAAAGAATTCTTTAAAAAAGAAACGACCCTGGTGTGGACGGAGGCACTATTAGGGTTTTGGCCAGGACACTGGGGAGGTGTAAACGGGGAGGCCCGGCTTCCCGGCCCCAGGGCTTCTCCACTTCACCCTCGCACCCCTGCCCAGCCCCACGCCCAGCGGCCCAGCTGCCAGCTGCCTGCTGCCCGGGCCCGCGCTCCTTCCCTTCCGGTTCTTGGCCAGCCTGGCCCCGCGTCTCAGGACGGCACAGGGTGCTCTCCCTGTCCTCGGCACAGCCGGCAGAAGACCGAGCTCCTACGCTGTGCCCCGGGGGCCTCGCACTGGGACAGGGTCCGGCCCCCAGGCCCTGCAGCGTGGCCATCCACTGCTGTGCTCTCCCGCGCAAGGCCCCGCTGGCCCCCCTCCCGCTCTGACCCTCTCCACGCTCCACGCTTTCGGCTGAGCCGCCTCCCGGCCCCCAGGCCTGACCCGCTCGCCCGCTGCTACCCACTGGCGGGAGCCCATCTCCCATGATTAGCCATGAAGACACAGACACAAGGCAGCCTCGGAGAACCGCCGGCCATGGCTATGTGACAGCACCCCTGCTCAGAGGCCCAGCCCTGCCGCCCACGGCTGCCCCTGCTCAGAGGCCCCCACCCCCCTAGCCACAGCTGCCCCTGTGGGTTCCTTCAGCCGCCTGGGGAGGATCTCTGCAGACGGAGGTACAGGCCCGAGTGACCCCGAGTGCCCAGCTGGGGGTGATCCTGGGAGGGCTGTGTGGCCACACCCTCTGTCCCCCAAGTCCCAACCACACGGCCAAGGAAGCAGAAGCCGTGCAGTCAGCAGGGCTGCGTTCCTGGGCCTTCTGCTGCTGGCCACTCCTGCTGCCCGCACCGCTCACGCCCCCCGTGTGCCTGTCCCCCTGCCAGGTGCCAGCGCGGCCTCCCTGAGCCAGGGTCAGCAGGCATCCCGGTCCCTGGCCTGACAGAGGTCAGCACTCCACGGTGAAGGCACGCTCCCCTCTGTGACAAAGTCTACATGACAGCTCGCTCCCACCCTGCACCTGCTGTCCACACAGCGCCCGCGGACAAAGACGAGACTGTGGGTGCTCGTCACCCCCTTCCCGAGGTCCCCGCGCAGGGACAGGCGCCCCGGGCCCTCTCCGGGACAGCGGCAGGGCCGGGCCGGGCTCACCCTGAGGCGCAGGGGCAGGTCCTCGGGGCTCTTGCCCGCCAGCTCATCGTCCTCGTCGTCATCCTGCAGGAAGAGGTTGGTGGGGATGATGCCCTTGGCGTACTTCTTGGTGATTTCCACGAAGTCGTCCAGCGCGATGTAGCTCTTGGCTGAAGCAGGAGAGAAGACGGCATGGCGCGCGCCCAACCGCCAGCCGCCGTGACCCTGCGGGGACGGCGGCCCGGGGCCCGGCTGCGACGGGCGCTGGGTGGGGAGTGGCAGGTCTGCCCGGCCTGGGTGACATGCAGAAGTGTCCCTGCTGCCGGCTCCTGACGCCTGCAGGAGCCCGTGCCTTTCTGCCGGCTCCACGGTGAGGCCTGCGACCCCCGAGTCTCCCGCACCCTCGACACCCCATCCCTGGAGCCTCGGCAGGGCTTCTCACAGTGCTGGGAATACCTGCCCTAAAGTCCAACCACTCGCTACCCACTGAGGGCCTACTATGCACCCACTAATCCCCCACGACCCACCAAGGGCCCACTATGCGCCCACCAACCCCTCCACCCACCATGACCCACTGAGGACCTACTGTGCAGAACTATTAGCCCCCCATCCAGTGTGACCCACACAGGCCTACTACGTGCCTAAAAACCCCTCTACGCAGCACGTTTGCAAAGGCCGGCAATGTGCTGGGTGCTGGCTAACACCGGGAAATACTGAGAACCGGCGAACGCAAGGCAGCGGGTTCCCAATGCCGGGCTCCCCGGCTGGCAGGGGCACGGGCGCAGGACAAGGTGGGGAGTCCCCAGAGCTGCACCCACACGGACAGGATGTGCTCCTCAGGGGGCCCGGAAACAGCACGCGCCACGGCTGGGGCCCGTGGAGCCGGGCTCACCCAGCTCTCCCGCCACCCCGCCTGTCTGTGCCATGGAGCCCTGGGTCCCCAGACCACAGTGCACCTGCGTGGATGGGGCAATGGTCAGGCTGGACAGCCGGATGTGGAGGACGGGGAAGCCCAACTCCTTGACCCCAGGTGTCTGAAGGGCACTCCCCCAGTCTCCATCTCCTCCCCCCCAACTCCATAGGCCCGCGCTGGGAGAGCCCCCACCCCCCACAGGGGCCCCTGGGCCCACAGTGCTCTCTCCCTGCCAAGTCTGGACCTCGCTCAGGCCCGACACCACCCCTGCCTGTCTCAGCCCAGCCCTGCTGCTGGCCTGTCCGCCTGTGGGCACATTCGTGCCCCGCAGTGGGCGGGGTCCAGGTCCCAGTGGCCACAGCCCTGACACCAACACAGCCTCGCTCGGGGAGTCCATTCAGGCCAAGATCCCGGCGGGTGGGGGGGTGTCCAGGCCCGGGGGACCTGCAGGGAGGAGTGGGCCCTGTGCCTGGGTGGTGGCTGGGAGAAGGCCCGAAGGCTCTGGCAGGTGCCGGGCCGGCTGGTGCCGGACAGACGGCCGTACTCACACTCGCTGCTGACCAAGCGCTCCAGCATCCGCCGCTGCTTCTGCCGAGACTTGGGGACGGGGCCTGGCTGCGCCCCTCCATCTGCAGGGCGAGCAGCGCTGCGTCAGGGCCGGCTGACTGTCCCCTGCGCAGCGCCGTGCCCTCGGCCCGGCCCCGTCCACCCCAGGGCCGTGCACCCCCCCGCACCCCGGGGCCTGCTCCGCACCGTGCCCTCGGCCCGGCCCCGTCCACCCCAGGGCCGTGCATCACCCCGCACCCCGGGGCCCGCTCTGCACCGTGCTTGTCCACCCTGCCTCCGTCCACCCCAGGGCCGTGCACCACCCCGCCCCCCGGGGCCTGCTCCGCACCGTGCCCTTCCACCCCGCCTCCGTCCACCCCAGGGCCGTGCACCACCCCGCCCCCCAGGGCCCGCTCCGCACTGTGCCCGTCCACCCCGCCTCCGTCCACCCCAGGGCCATGCACCGTCCCCGCCCCCTGGGGCCCGCTCCGCACCGTGCCCCCCAGGGCCGTGCACCACCCCGTCCACCCCAGGGCCGTGCACCACCCCGCCCCCCAGGGCCCGCTCCGCACCGTGCTCGTCCACCTGGCCGACGTTCTCCAGCAGCTCGGCCACGGCCACCTGCTTCTTCTTCTTGGGGTTGAGCCTCCAGTACATGACCAGCGCGGCCTTGCGCACGGCCCTCTCCAGCTCCGTCTCGGAGGCCAGCTGCTTCACCGCCTGCTCGTTCTCGGACGTGATGCCTGCGACACGGGGGCGGCTGAGGCCTCCCCCCACCCCCGCAGCCGTCGGGGCGCTGAGCGGGCTGGGGCAGGCGACGCAGGGCACGGGTGCGGGCGCCCTTGCTCACTGGGCAGCACGGACTCGGGGCCGAAAGGGCATCTGGGCACAGCTCCCTCGGGCGGCCACGGCTGACAGGGGCGGGGTGGGGGGTGCAGCTGACGGCTGCACCGGGCTGGCCTTTCCTGCCTCACTCCCTCCCCACAATGCCCGCCAGACTCTCTGGAGCAGAAACGGAGGCCCAGAGCTGGGAACGGCCTTGTCCAAGGCCAGGGGCAGGGAGCCGGTGCTGTCTCCCCTGGGCCGGTGTCACTGCAGGGTCACCAGCCTGGGCGCAAGGGCAGGGTGCCCCCACCCCCGACGCATGCACTGTTTCCTGGGTGCAGCCCCTCCATGGTCTCCCACAGACCTGGCCTTCCCCCCCCCCCAAAAAAAAAAAGAGCCTCGGCCCTCGTAGAGCCGGCGAGTAGGACCCCAGGCCCCTTCCCGCCCTCATCCCCGGCTGCCTAGAACATCGGCCGGCCTCTCGCAACAGGGCGGTGAGACGCAGGCCGGACGCCTGGACGACCCTCTCCTTTGAAAGCCTTCCCAAACTGCTCTCCTGAGCACAGGGATTTCTGGTCGGGAAGCACTTGTCTGACAACGGGGGCTGCGTGGGGCTGCGTGGGGCTGGGGGCCTGGCCCTGCCTCCCCCTCCCCCCTGTTGCCGCCAGTGCGGTCTCCATGTTGCTCCCTCGCAGCCAGCACGGGGGCCACGCTGCCCGCCCCAGCCAGCTCCGGGGCTCCGCACCTGCTGCGCGATGGGGAGGCTGGGCGGCTGAGAAACCCGGGCCGCTGGGCCCGGCACTGGGGTGCAGCAGGCCAAGCCTCCGTCTGCCGCAATTCTTAAAATATCATGATACAAAACCAGAAGGAAATGCGCCAAATACGGAGAGCTGCGCCAAGCCTCGGCGCTTGCGGGTAATTCGTATCACCAGGTATTCTGCACATTCCAAGTTTTTTGGCGATACACATAAATATTTTTATAATCTAAAAACATGCATGTACCATTGACAATTCTGTGTTTGAAAGGTAGAGAGACAGACAGCTCCCTCCTGCAGGTTCACTCCCCAAAGCCCTGCCACAGCCAGGGCTGGGGAAGCCAAGGCGAAGCCAGGAGCCGGTCTCTCGAGCCCGGTCTGGCGAGTGGCCGGGCGCCTACACGGCTGCCTCCCCGGGCAGCGACAGCAGGAAGCTGCAGGCAGGAGCTGAGCCGGACTCAAGCCCGGCGCTCTGCCATGGGCCGTGGGCACCCAAGCAGCACCTGAGCTGCCGTGCCGACGCCTGCCCCGTGCTTCACTGGAACACAGCTTTGCGGGGCCGGTGCTGTGAGACCAGCATCCCACATGGGGGCTGGTTCCTGTCCTGGCTGCCCCTCTTCCGATCCAGCTCCCTGCTAATGGCCTGGGAAAGCAGCCGAGGACGGCCCGAGTGTCTGGGGCCCTGCACCCATGTGGGAGACCCGGATGGAGCTCCTGGCTCCGGCCCGGCCCTGGCTACTGTGGCCATCTGGGGAGTGAACCAGCGGATGGAAGATCTCTCTCTCCCTCTCCTTCCACCTCTCTCTGCACCTCTGCCTTTCAAATAAATGAGTCTTTAAAAATAAATAAATTAATTAATTAAATTTTTTTTTGAAAAAAAAAAAAAAAAAAAAATTCTGTGACACACACGTTGCTCTTCCCCTGAGCCCTGGAGCTTCCAGGAGCACAGGCCCCAGACCCCGGGGTGAGCCAGGCCTTGTGGGCGGGCCGGTGTCGCAACTGGGCGCACGTGGCTGGGGCCGCCTGCCCCTCGTCCCACGCCCTGTCCTGAGGGCAGTGGCCTCCGCCCGCGGTGGGCAGAGCTGTGCAGGGCTTCGTGAGCCTGTAGCCCCAGCTGCTGCCCAGGCGGATGGACAGACCGACAGCTCAGGGGAGGCCCCCCACAACCCGCTCGCCCAGCCCCTGTGCACCCCTACAACCCGCTCGCCCAGCCCCGCGCACCCCTACCTCTCCTGTCGGCCAGGCAGCGGCGGAGCAGCTTCACGGCCTCGCGCCGGCCCTGCTTGGCGGCCAGGATGAGCCAGTCCACGGCCGTGCAGTTGTTCAGCTCCTCGTCCTCGGCCTGGGCCAGGCGCAGGTAGTGCCTGCCCACCTGCAACCGACAGCCTCAGCCCCAGCCAAGAGCCAGGGCGCAGGGCGGGGCCCCGGGACCCCGGGCATGTGCGGCCGCCCCTCTGGGAGCAGGAAACCCTATGCTTGGCCTCGCTGCCGCCCAAGGCTCCCGAGCGACTCGGGACCACGGCGGGCGGCTTCCCGCTTGTCAGTCAGTGGGGGCCGGGACAGCGCAGTGCTGACCAATCACTGCCCAGGCCTCCAGGAGGAGGGGCGGGCATCTCCCCCAGGGCTGGCCAGGCTGGCACAGCAGGCGGCTGTCGGGGGCCCCTGTCTTTCCTCCTGCTGGGGTCTTGGGCTCCCCACGACAAGGAGCCGTGCAGCCAGCAGCACAGGGGGACAGGCTGTAACTGCAGCTCCACCCTCCAGGGCCGCGGGAGCCCGGCCAAGGCGTCCCCCGCCGCGGGACCTCCGCACCGAGCCCTCTGCCCCACGCCGCCCCAGCTGTGCAGGTCAGCCCGGCCCTGGCAGCCGCTGGAGTGGGCAGTGGGGGTGCCGAGGCCGAGGGTGCCCCCCACTGAACCAGGCCCACAGGGCCAGGGGACTGCGCGCTCAGGGAGACGACAGGAACAGGGCACCGGGAAGCCGTGAGGGAGAGCGGGCAGGAGGCAGGGAGGGAGCCCTGGGGCAGGTGTGCAGCCCCGGGAAAACCTCACAGCGAACACGAAAACCAACACGGAGCCGGGCACGGGGCCGGGTGCAGTCCCGCCGGCCTGGCCCCTGCTCCGCAGCGGGCGGCAGAGGCACAGCCAGGTCTGAACTCACCTCGGCCTGCGCCTTCGGGTCCCCGGCCTTGGCCTTCTCCAGGACTTCCTCAAAGGGAATCTCTGCGTCTCCGGTCGCAGGCCCTGTAGCGGGGAAGGGAGAGGGCGGGGCGGGGGTCACAGAGCGGGCCCGCGGCTCCTGGCAGAGTGGACGGATGCGGCCAGAGCTGGGCCTGTGCAGCACCCTGTGTCCCCAGGCCCGTGCCCAGCCCCCGGGACGAGACACACATAGAGCTTCTGAAAAAACTGCCACTGAAGGGCCAGCCCCCATACGCCCTGGCCCCACACTCCGTAGGTGCCGGTCAGGGGCTTGCCCTCTCCTGCTGTTTCCAGAAAGGGGGTGGGGTGCAGGGACTTGGCGCCTGGTCCCGCCAGGGGCAGCCCACGGGGCCCAGCCTCCCCCATCCGACCGGGGGCAGGCCCGTGGTCAGGGAGAAAGGAACCGGAAGGCTCAGCCCCCAGACAGGAGGGCACCGCCGCCTGCCGCCTGTCAGCCCTGGGGACTCCGCTCCAAGGCGGCTGCAGGGCCCCATGCTTCCTGCGACCCTCGCTCCCGCCCTAGCCCAGCCCTGCCACAGGGCGCTTGCACAGGGGCACGCGGCACCCGCAGGCTCCCGGCCCAGGCCCTCCTGGCGGGGCACAGCAGCGACCTGTGCACAGCTGGACAAACTCTGACCCTGTGTCACTGGGTGACCACGCGCGAGCCACGTCACCTCGGAGGCAGTTTCAGTTCCACGGCTGATGTCAGTCCCATGGGACGGCTGATGCGCAAATCCACTGCTTCCATCCAGCTCCGGTGCGGGGCTGGCACCCACGCACGTGGCCCTCTTCCCTCCTCCCAGGTCCCCATCGCCCCTGCTGACCCCAGGGCCTTTGCTCCTCACTGACTCTACTCCCAGACACAATGGCAGGCCTCCGCTCCCTCCAGCTCAAAACCCTTTTCTTGACTGAAGTCCCAGGTCCTCACTCCCCCTCCCCTTCAATCAGCACACGGGAGATGCGGGCGTGTATATCGGCCACGAGCCGCGTCTGTGCCATGATGAATTTTCACAGGTGCCATCCATGGCCTGACACTTCCCGGCGTGTCCCCGACACGCAGGACGGCTTTGAAGCAAGCCCAGCACCTTCTCCGTGGTCCCGGCCTCGGAGCAGCCCTGGGAGAAGCGTCCACACAGCCCCCGGGCGCTGGGCTCCGGCGGCACGGCAGGCGAGGGACCCGCTGTCTCCACGCCGGGAGCCTTCGCACAGCGGACGGCAGAACTCAGGGCGCCTACTGCTCAGTGCCAAGCACCCCTCCTGAAGCCGGCGGAGCTGCTGTGCCCGCCACGGGCCATGCGCGTGCATGCCCCCACCCCGACGCCCCTCCTCGGGAAGCCCCCAGCCCTGCCCCAGGCACAGCAGTGGGAAGTGGCCAAGCTGGCCCCGGCCCGGCCCCAGGCAGGCTCAGCGCTGGAGCCACGCTCTGCACATGCCGGCCACAGGGGCCCCAGCCTCGTTTCCCACGCACCCCTGCACCAGGCCGGCTTCCCTGTGCAGCCCCAGGCCCTGCAGGGGCCCTCGGTGGGGCGGAGCCAGCTCCCCCACCCCCACCATCAGCTGCCAGCGCCCTGGGGGCCAGGAGTCTGACCCAGCCCTTCAGTCCCGGCACTGCACAGACAGGTTCTGGGCTGGGGACGAGGACCGCGGGCTGGCGACGGGCTGAGTGTGGTGGCACAGGCAGACCTGTGAGTGTGTGTGTGAGTGTGTGAGTGTGTGTGTGTGTGTGTTGGAAGAGCCACAGCATTCTCCTGCTGGGTGGAACAGGACCCCCCCAGAGCCAAAGACAGCACCGCGGTCGACACTCATGGGGACATCCCGCACCCGTGAGGAAGGGCCCCCGCGCCTGTGGCCCTGGCTGGGCAGGGGCAGGCCCTGGCCACTGACACGGGGCTCTGGAAGGGCGGCCTGCACAGCAGTGAGAATCGAGCCCCCAGCAGGAGGCGCCACACTCCAGCCCAGAGCCCCACGACTCCTTGGGTTCTTGGAATCTATTGGCGTCCCCACTTTCTCTCCCTGTCTGGCCCCTGGGGACCCCAGCCTCCCAGGGCTGACCCAGCGTTTCCCACGTGGCGGGCGACCTGCCCGGGCCACAGAGCAGCAGCAGTAACACCTCAGGGTTCTCACTCAGAGACAGCCAGAGGAAGGGAACCCCAGGCAGCTCTGGTCTCAGAGGGCGCCTCCTCCAGGCAGCCCTCCAGGCAACCCTGCTGCTGCTCCCGTGAGTGACTAGGCCCTTCCGTCACATCCCAGGACACGGACACTTCTTTACCACGTTCCTCTTCCTAGAAGACCCTGGGGGACAGCCCTGCGCCTTTGCCCCTCGGTCACCAGAGCCTGGGGGACCCCACGAGGCCAGGCCCCTCGCCTGCAGCACCAGGCTCCCTGGGTCACTGAGTGCATCTCCGTTCTTATCTGAAGAACGGGGCAGCAGCGGTGCCCGACGCCAGCACTGTCGGGCCACGTGGGCTGCTCCGGTGCCCGACGCCAGCACTGTCGGGCAACGTGGGCTGCTCCGGCAGGAGGCCTGCAAGGCTCCGGCAGGGGTGGGCAGGGAGGGAGCGGGGAGGGGACAGGGAGGGGGGCCGGCGCCCCTGCAATATTCACGCTTGCCCTGCCCCCCACCGGCACTGCACTGACATCCACTGCACCTCCGGTGGCCAGGAGAGTCCATTCAGGAACCCACCCAGCCGGCTGCTCCCGGCGGATGCTCCGGGCACCCCTGGCACCTGCAGGTGGGGCCTGCTTGTCCCCCAGTCAGGCACCGGTGCCCAGCAACCAGGAGCCACGACACACAGAGCCCCGGCTGCACGGCCAACAGGCCCGGCTCGCTCTCCACCCCCTCTGCTCGGGCAGAAGCCAAACCGAGACCACATCTGCTTCCTGCCCCCGCTTATCGCGGTGTGGTCCTCCGCGGGCCGGTTTGCTTGACGCAGATTGAAGCCGGGCCCTGCGAGCCCTGGTCCTGGGTCCCACGGTCGCTGTGGCCAGGCCCATGTCCCGGGGGCCGGGCCCTTGCTGGCCCAGAGGCCCTGGAGGCCAAGCAAAGGAACAAGGTGGTCTTTCAAGACGCCAAGCCCAGTGCGAGGGTAAATCGGGCTCAGGCAGCACGCGCTGACCGTGCGTGGGGGTGCGGTAGGGGCAGGGATGTAGGGATGGGGGGGCTCGACGCCCCTTGCCCAGAGCTCAGAAGCCCCGCTCTGCAGTGCCTGGCTCCCCAGACAAATCCTGGGGCTCTGTGCCTTGGGGTCCGTGCACCCCAGGCTCGCACGGGCAGGAGGGCCACGCTGCGCTGGGCTGGCCGCCTTAGGCAGCCGCGGTGGGAGGGTGGGCACCTGGAGATGCCAGCTGGAGCGAGCTGGACAGAGGTGGCTCAGGCTGGCTTTCCCGCTTCGCCCATCCCCCAACACCTGGGCACAAAGGAAGCCACGCGTCACACCGTGAGCAATGGGGGGAGGGGCCTGCACCCCGTGGGGCGGGACAGGGGGAGGAAGCCCCAGGCCACACAAAGCTCCTTCGCGGAGAAAAGGAACGCAAACCACGCTTCAGTCCTGCAACACGGCCTTCTTGGTGCCCAGCCACGCGGTCGGGCACAGGGAGCCGACGCCCACCCGCCACGTGAGCGGAGCCCGGGCTCCAGCAGAGCCTGCACACCCAGGGCCGGGAAACACCGCACCAACCCGAGGAGGGAAGGGGCTCCCAGTCCAGCCCACTCGGGCCGCACAACGCCTCTTCCTCTTCCCAGGGCCCAAGGGGACGAGCCAGGGCCCACACCCGCAATCAACATCCCCACTAACAGGCTCCTCGCCCACCCACCACGCACCTGCTCTCAGCCCCCAGCCTTTGCCAAGGCTGCTCCAGCACCAGACCCCCTCAGCCTCCCCCGTGCTGCGTGCTCACTGCCCCCTGCCTGTGTCTGGTACACAGACAGCGTGGCGGCTACACGGCAGCGGGATCCCCCGTGGAAACTGCCACAGCCCTACAAGGGTCGCAGGGGGGCAGGGTACCAGCAGCCGGTGAGCCTGGGTCTGGCCACTGCCCACCACAGCCCCGGCTCAGATCAGGGACTAGAGATGCACCAAGTGAGTGTGTGCACACGTGTGTGCAAGCAAGCGCACGCGTATACACGTGTGTGCTAGCGTGTGCACAGTGCATGTGTGAACAAGTGTGTGCATCGCATGTGTGTGACTGCATGTGTATATGTGTGTGCATGTGTGGACATGTGTGTTAGCATGTGCCAGCCCGCAACGAACACGTCTCCCTGGTGTGGGTCGAGGTTGGAAAGCGTAGGAGGCAGGAGGGCCTTATGGGTGGCAGGGTTCCAGCAGGCGGAGATGGGGAGGTGGGGGATGGGCACTGCATGCTTTGGGAAGAAGCTGCCAGGTGGGCCAAGAGCAGGGGAGGCGCGGCAGAGCCGGAGGAGGCGGGAAGGCTGGGACGGGGCACTCGACAGACGCCCCCAGGGCTCCCCCGCAGCCTCTCCTGGCCTGTGCCACCCCACCTGCGAGGGCCGGGACGTGGAGCCGAGTGCAGTGACATCCGGGCTCAGAGCGGGGGCGGCAGGCCCTGCGGTGCCCAGCAGGAGGCTCCTCCCGGGGCCCGGGGCCAGGCGCCCCCCCTGCTTTCACAACACAGCCCTGGCCTGGCTGAGGCCAGGGGGCTTCCGGGCCCCGCCGCCTTACCTGTCCCCGCCGTTCCTTCTCTGCTCCTGGTGCCTGAGTCCCGGGGCTCGGCCGGGGCAGCTGCATCTCCAACACCTGGTCCAGGGCCAACCTGGGTGCCAGGGGGCTGGGGGCACCTCGCTCCTCTCCTGCTCCACGGAGGCAGCGGCGTTGAGCTGAGAGCGGGCCGGGGGCTCTGGGAGGGAGGGGCTCGGAGGAGAGGCGCCGGAGTCCATCCTGCCTGCAAGAAAAGTCGTGGTCAGATGCGCAGCAGGCTCCGAAGCCGGTCGGCTCCGGTTCCCAGCCGGGGAAGTCTGGGGGCAGCAGAGGGTACAGGTGGGTGCTGCCTGCTCTCCGGTGTGGCCTCACCCCTCCCACGGCCCCCAAGGCCTGTCTGCCGCACAGATGGTCACTCAAGGTCAAGTGGCCACGACAGCTGCGAGCCCGGCCTCAAGTGCTCGCCGCGCCGGGGGAGCCAAGGGACAGGCCCCAGAGACGGCACCCAGACGTCAGCAGGGCCGGACGACGGGCTCCTGAGCGCCGCCTCCCCAGAGTCCGTGAAAGGCGCCGGGTGTGGAGGCCGGCAGCTTCACAGGTGCAATGCAGTTCAAGATCTTGAATGCGAGGTCCACCTGGAGTGGCCCTCACGCCAGTGCCCAGTGTCCTTATGAGAAGAGAGACAGAGAGGAGGCAGCTGTGTGGCCATGGGGGCGGGGACAGGGCTGACGCGGCTTTGAGCTCAGGGATGCCGGGGCTGGGCGGCGACCCCAGGCTGGAGAGGCAGGAGAAGCCCCCAGCTCCGCCTGCACCCCGACCTCAGACTCGTCTCCGGGGCTGACAGAGCACATCTGAGGTTGCAATGACGCATCTGGCGATTCTGCCCAGGGTCCATGCCAGGCCTGCACACAGGACAAAATCACACGATCCCAAACCCCTGACACGAACACCTTAAAGAGCAAGCAGATGTGTGCAGCAGGTGGCGCGAGGCCGGGCTGCTGGGACAAACTGCACAGGGATCCAGGGACGCGCGTCGCGACAAGGAAAGGGCCCCGGGCTCAGCAAAGCGGCCTCCCTCGCTACCTGGAAACCAGACAAACACTGAGCAGGACGGGCAGCCAGAGCCACAGACGGCGGAGCCCAGAGCTCGTGAGGGTCCTGGCCCCGCGGGGGGCTTCCAGGGATCCCAGACTTGGAGCCTCCTGCACCCCGCATGGGGTCCGGGGAGGTTCCCACAAGGCCACGCATGCAGGCCCACATGAGTGCATGGCCAGCTGCAGTGGGCGCAACAGGTCCCGCGCGGCCTCCACACGGCCAGGGGCCAGCAGGCCCAGCTCCCCCGGCCACACCACGCCTCACCGCTGCCGTCCCGCCAGCCAAGTGCCACCTGCCGCCCGGGGCACCTGTCCTGAGTGAAGCCGTCCTGCTGGCGGCACCTCCCCGGCTCCGAGTGTCCGCTCACCTTCACAGGCCGGGAAACGCACGCCCGGCGGCTCAGCCAGACTCCGCTCACACCTGCCCAGCTCCAAACCTCCCCAAGCACCTTCCAGAAAATTCGGCCTTTCACACTGTGCCCCTCCCCCATCCCGCTCCCCCCAAACCACGGAGCCGCTCCCAGCACCAACCCTGGACTGCTCTGGGCCACACTCCTGCTCTGGTGGCGCCCTCTCCCCCGCTCCAAATCCGGACCCCTCCCGGTCACAGCAGGCGCCTCCCTCACCTCGCTTAGGTAGACCCCCAGCAGAGGCGTGGCAGGGACAGGACGGTCCCAGCCGCCAGAGCACGGTTTCACAGCCGAGAGCCGCAGGGAGCGGACGGCCCCTACCTGCGGCTGCCTGGCCCCGCGGTGACGTGCGGGTGACGCCTGTCCCACGGGGGCTGCAGGGATCGAGGGCCTGAGGGAGGAGAAAGCATCTTAGGGACGGGCCCTAAGCTGCCCCCAGGCGCTACACAAAGGCTCAGGTGGAAAACACCCTACGAAACTGCAGGAACACGCAGGCCACGGCTGGCACGCCAAGCACCGCGCACGTCACGTCACATCACGTCACAACAGGGCTGTCTGCGGTACAAGCCATGGCCCGGAAGGCCGCACCAACACATGAGGACCCGTGGTCCCCGCTGTGGTGGAATTCAGGGACCACGCAGATCAGGAAAGATCCCGGGTGGCTGACCGTGTGGGGGAGGGGCAGCCTGGCTGGGGAGGGTCCCTCTGTTGCTCTGAGACCCGACCCAGCCCTCAGCACCTTCATCATCCCCACGCTGCTCCTGGCCCCAAGACCCTGGACCCCGGGCCCATCCACACGGGCGGGAGGGGGGGCAGCACACCCGCCGGCCGGAGCCCAAAGTTGGAGCCCTCACTGGGTGAGAGCCAGGAGAACGGGCGCGCATTCTTCCCCCGTGAGCACAAGGCTTATTTTTATCCCCTTAAGAGACAAACACAAACGCCAGCACCCGGAGCTCAGCCGTGGGGCCGCCACCCCGGGAAGGACCCAGTGGCCTTCTGCCCAGAGCGCTCTGGCCCTGGCTGGCACGCGTCCTGCTCTGCCCAAGGGCAGGAAGCTCCCTGACCTGCACCTGCACCTCCAGGGGCCCGGCTGGGGCGGCGTCACCGGGGTATCCGCCACGGCGGCACTCCTGGGCACCGTCCAGAGGGGGACCAGCGGGAAAATGCACAGCCCTCCCGTGACCTCCCGCATAAATATTTAAAGACAACAGAATGCGCAGCACGATGACGCAGTGTCCACTGCTCTCGCGCGTCTGTTTAGGGTGGGGAAACCCTCGGCAGGACAGACGCCGCAGGCGGTTTCGTATTGTTGTTAAAAAATGTTTTCCTGGTTTCCTATAGCAAGTGTGTAATATCTTTGGAATTAAGGCAAAAGGTTATTTTAAATTCCATCTGCGACCGAGCCCTAAGCAAGCAGGCCCAGTAGGTCCCAGGCCTGGGGCGTCCACTCTTGGTCTGACCTGACCGTGGCCCAAGGCTGAGCCTCAAGACAAGGGCACGGAGCCCTTGGGGCCTCCCAGGTACCTATTTTTGCCCAGAGCATTAAGGGCCAAACCAAGGAACATTCCAGCTCCACCCACTGTGGCAAGTCCACAGAGATGGGCGGGGAGGACTCAGAAGGGCCCAGGCTGCGAGCAACAGCCAAGACCCCTACCCACCTGACACCTGCTCTGGGCCAGGCCCCGCGGGTCAGCGGGTCTGCACTGGGCTGTCTATCCCCCACACAGGGTGCACCCGGGCCAGGCTTCCCGCAGCTCAGCCTGGCTGATGCTAAAGACACAGCAGCACTGGATCTGCAGAGCAGAGGGGGCCCCACCCACCCTGGACAGGGAGCCGCAGGGGGGCTCCAGGGTAGGGCACGATGGGGTCTGGGCATCCCAGCAGAGGGTCGGCCGGCTGTGATGTGGGGGGATGTGACCCCGGGGAGAGAAGAGAGAGGAAGGGGGCAGTTTAGGATCCTCTGGGAGGGAGGGGGGGCGCTGCAGTGCTGTGGGCTGGGCCATGGCCTGAGACACCCGTGTGCCATGGAAGAAGTGCCAGTCCTGTCCCAGCTACTCTGGTCCAGCTTCCTGCTGGTGCATCCTGGGGGGATGTGCCCCAGTACCGGCACAGAGATGGGCTGTCCTGTGACCAGCCCTAAGGGACCGTGCAGCCCTGGCCTGAGTCGGGAGCCCCTCCGTGCTCCTCCTCCTGGGGGAGAAGGTGGGAGGGGTCTCCGGGCCTGGCCTGGGTCGGGAGACCCTCCGTGCTACTCCTCCTGGGGGAGAAGGTGGGAGGGGTCTCCGGGCCTGGCCTGAGTCGGGAGCCCCTCCGTGCTCTTCCTCCTGGGGGAGAAGGCGTGAGGGGTCTCCGGGCCTGGCCTGAGTCGGGGGCCCCTCTGTGCTCCTCCTCCTGGGGAGAAGGCGGGAGGGGGTCTCCGGGCCTGGCCTTGGTCGGGAGCCCCTCCGTGCCATTCCTCTTGGGGGAAAAGGGGAGACCAGGACCCACTCTTCTTGCTCTGGGGGAGGGCGAGGAAGAAAGACCTGGAACATAAATCCGGGGAGGGTCACAAAGCGGCTCCCAAGCGCATCAGGCGCCTCGGACAGGTGCACACAGGTGGGCGGGGGCAGCCGGCACGCGGGTACCCAGGGCACAGCTCCGTGAGTCTGAGGATGGATCCCCGCACAGGGAGAGCCCTTTGCAAACTGTAAATGCCTGGGCCAAATGCCAGGGGTCATTGTCCAAGGAGACGGGAGGCAGGGCCACACTGGCTGGGACAGAGGTCTCACCCCAGGCGCTGCCCGCAGCTGCCCGCGGTGGGCACCTCCCACCCCAGGCCCTCGGGGGAGTGGCAGGGCTGTTCCAAAGAACGGCAGCGCCGGTGCCCTGCAGCTTCCCAGCGGCTACAAGACGCGCTGAGGACGAGCCCCCTCACGCCCAAGCGCTGCCACCCGTCAATCAGACGGGGGGTGTCCCGCCGGCGGGGTCCCCGTCCCGGAGGAGGGTCCCGGGGCCAGGGCGCTGCCGCTCGGCTCCTTAGCAGGCTAGGGGCAGGGTCGGCCTGAGCCCAGGCACTGCACCCCGACCCCCACCGCCGCCGGGGGCCCCTCGGGCCAGGGGGCGCCGCGTGTCCGTCCGCATCCAACTTTTGCGGAGAGGCTCGCGCAGGCGCGGAGGCGCCCAGCGGCGCGATGCGTGGGACCCCCGGGCCAGAGCGGGCCAAGCCCCCGGGACCCTGCGTTTTCCAACTTCCGGGGCACCAGCGGGGGCCTTTGCGCCCAGGCATCCATCAGCTCCGAGAGGGGGACGGAGGCTCTCGGCGGGCGGCCCCCCGCGCGCTGCCCACGGCCACCGTGCCCGGGTCCACCTACTCACCGCCCGAAAGTGGGCCGCGCGCGGCGTCCCGGGCCTCCGAGCCACCGCAGAACTGCCCGGGAGCAGGGAGAGCGCCGCGGCCGGCGAAGGAGCAGCCGGAGCGGAGCGGGCGGCGAAGGCTGCGGCGGGAGCCGGGGCGCGCGGCCGCCGGGGCCGGGGGGGCGGGGCGGTGGGCGGGGCGGTGGGCGGGCTCCCATCCGCTCTCCACTCCCGGCGCGGCCTCCAGAAGGCGGCCCTCGGAGCGGTCGGAGTGCCCGCCAATCACTGCAGGCCTCCGCCAATCACGGCGCGCCTCGCCGGGCTACGCTCGACTTGCCCCCTGCGCGGCCGAGGGCGCCTCGGGGGCGGGTCCGACCGACTGGAGGCGAAAGTTTCCGAGCGGACTCGGCCGCGCCCCGCCCCGCCCCAGCGCGCCCGGGGGCTGAACCCGGCCACTTCCCAGCCGGCCGGCGGGAGACCCGCGGCGATTCCGGCCACGTCCCAGCCGGCTGGGCGCCGCACGCCTTCACCCTGGCCCAGCTGCGGCTGCAGCGACGGAGAAAGCCCGTTTAAGTGAGTGAGTGCGAGAGAGCGCGGCTTCGGATGCACGGAACCCGCGCGCACCGCAGCTCTCCCGCAGGAGAGCGCGGGATTCCTTTGCGGTGTGTCCAAGGGAGTTTGCGAGGCGGCCCGGTCCCGTCCAGGGGTCCGAGAGGCGTGGCTGGCAGGTTAGGGCTGGTTCAGGCCGGGCCCTGGGCAAGTGAGGCCCTGCCTGCTGTAGCTGTGGACCCCACGGCCAACGTGGGGCACCTGCGCTGGCTTCTCCAGCGGCCCCGGGACTGCCAGACACAGCTCCGCCCAGTGCCGGCGGCAGGTCGCTGGATGTGGAGGGGCTCTGTCCATGCCCGCGCTACCTGGGGGACTTTGGTCCCAGCCGCGCAGTTCATCGGCTGCCTGGTTCCCCTCTCCGGCTGCCTCCACGGCTCTCGCCTTTCCAGCTGCCCCACAGAGAGGCCCATTCCTGCCGTCCGCAGCCACCCGCGGACCAGCTCTCTGTCGTCCCTTCTAACAAACACGTGCAAAAAATCGGAGGAAATACAGAAAGTAGAAAAGAATAAGATCACCCAAAAGCCCTGTTTGCCTTCTGCAGTGTGCACACTGTTCAGAAAGGGCTTCACAAAGCATGGTGGAGGCAGTGCTGCGGCTTAGTGGGCAAAGCTGCCATCCCATACGGGTGCCGGTTCGAGTCCCGGCTGCTCCACTTCCCATCCACCTACCCGCTCATGTCCTGGGAAAGCAGCAGAGGATACCCAGGTGCTTGGGCCCCGCCTCCACGTGGGAGCAGCTCCTGGCTCCTGGCTTCTGATTGGCGAGCTCCAGCCTTTGTGGCTATTTGGGGGAGTGAACCAGCAGATGGAAGACCTCTCTCTCTCTCTCTCACTGTAACTCTGCCTTTCAAATAAATCTTAAAAAAAAAAAAAAAACGCATCATGGACACACGGTATATGAAGATGAAGAATGGAGGTATTTTAAAAGCTCGTGGGAAATGCATATGGAAACAAATGCCTGGGGCTGGCGCTGGCATAATGGGCTAAGCCTCCAACTGCAGCACCAGCATCCCAGGTGGGCACCGGTTCTAGTCCCAGTTGCTCCTCTTCTGATTCAGCTCTCTGCTCTGGCCTGGGAAAGCAGTGGAGGATGGCCCAAGTGCTTGGGCCCTGCACCCACGTGGGAGACCAGGAAGAAGCTCCTGGCTCCTGGCTTCAGATCAGCGCAGCTCCAGCCGTTGCAACCATTTGGGGAGTGAACCAGCGGATGGAAGACCTCTCTCTCTGTCTCTCCCTCTCTCTGTAACTTTACCTCTCAAATAAATAAATAAAAAAAATTTAAAAAGATTTATTTTATTTATTTGAAAGAAGAGTTACAGAGAGAGGGAGAGACAGAGAGAGAGGTCTTCCATCCACTGGCTCACTCCCCAATTGGCTGTAACGGCCAGAGCTGCATGGATCTGAAGCCAGGAGCTTCTTCCAGGTCTCCCACGTGGGTGCAGGGGCCCAAGCACTTAGGCCATCTTCTACTGCTTTCCATGGATTTCACCGTTTTTGGTGCAAATTCATCTTTTAATTCCATTTCCCCACGCACTTCCGGAGGCGCCCTTCTGGTGCACGGCTGTTTCCCTAGACAGGGTCTGGGAAGCGGGAGCTCCAGGTACTGACTGCTCTTCCAGCTCCACGGATACATTTTATCCAAATGAGTTCCTGAAAGTTGCTGCCAGGGGCCAGCATCAGAGCGGAGGGTGAAGCCGCTGCCTGCCATGCCCAGCGTCCTTACGGGCACTGATCCGAGTCCCAGCCGCCCACTTCTGATCCAGCTCCCTGCTGACGCACCGGGGAGAACAGCAGAAGTGGCCCAAGTGTGTGGGATCCTGGCACCCACGTGGGAGACCCAGATGAAGCTCCTGACCAGGCGCTGGCCATGGCAGCTGTCTGGGAAGTGAACCAGTGGATGGAAGATTTATTTATTTATTTATTTGAAAGTCAGAGTTACAGAGAGAGGGAGATCTTCATGGCTGGTTTACTCCCTAGATGGCTACCACAGCCAGCCTGGGCCCAGGTCGAAGCCGGGTGCCAGGAATTCCGTCTGGGTGTCCCACGTGGGTGCAGGGGCCCAAGCACTTGGGCCATCTTCCACTGTTTCTCCCAGACCATGAACAGGGAGCTGGCTCACAAGTGGAACAGCGGACACACAAAATGCCACCCGTGTGGGGGTGCCAGTGTTACAGGTGTCGCTTTACCTGCTTTGCCACAGTGTGGGCCCCAAATAAACCTTAAAACAAAGTTGTTTCCACTTTATCTCTGAGAAAGGAATTACCTCTTTTTTTTTTTTTTAAGATTGATTGATTTATTAGAAAGGCAGAGTTAGAGAGAGAGAGAGAGAGAGAGGAGAGAGAGATCTTGCATCTGCTGGTTCACTCCCCAGATGGCTGCTACAGCTGGAGCTGCGCTGATCCGAAGCCAGGAGCTTCTTCCAGGTCTCCCACGTGGGTGCAGGGACCCAAGCACTTGGGCCATCCTCTACTACTTTCCCAGGCCACAGCAGGGAGCAGGATCGGAAGTGGAGCAGCTGGTCTCCAACCATGGGATGCCGGCACTGCAGGCAGCAGCCTTACCCGCCACGCCACAGCGCGGGCCCCAAGGAATTACCTTTTTAAAAACATTTTCCCAGGATGGAAAATGAAATGGCCTCGCGATTGTCACTTGCATTCCGGTGCTCACTGCGGTTCTGCGTGTCGTGTGTCTGAACCCCAGAGGCCTCTGCTGCTCATTCCCCTCTGGGCTCTGGGGGGCTCTTTATGTTCAACCCACCCCTCTCCCCCGCCCCATCCTGCCCTCACCCGTGAGGCCACACACACGCTGTTGTGTGCAGGAGCGCAGGTGCCCGGTCAGCCGCCTCCGCCCAGGAGACCGCCGCAGCCTGGCCCTGCGGGCACTGAAGCCTCACACCCTGGCCAACCCTCCGGGGGGCTCAGCCAGCAGGAGGAAGAGGCAGACAGTGCAGTTCCTCTGGAGTTCTAAAGAGAGAGCGGACTTTGAATAAAACCGCCCAAAGCCGCATGACAGAGCACAGGGCCATCTCAGGGTTCCAGCAGCCGAAAAAGCAACAAGGTAACAGGCAGCTTCCAACAGCCCAGCAAGGGCACATTGGCAGACGATCAGACAGCCTGCGGTAAATATCCCATAAACGTGCCCGGAAAGGGTGGACGTCGTCAGGAGCCTCGAACGGCAGTTCCAGGGCGGGTCTCATCCAGGCAGAGGGAGCTGGGGGGACACGATGGTTGCAGGAGTGCTGACCGTGTCCCTGCGGCTGAGACCACTGAGACCCCAGGATAAAGAGAAAGCCCCGCAGGACGCCAGAGAGGACAAAGGCGCATCCAGAGGAAGGACGGTCGGAGCGGAACCGAGACGCCTGGAGGGAGGGTCGATGCCAAGGATACCCATAAGGTCCTCTCCCCGGCATCGGCCATCGGGGGATTCTCCCACCAGGGCAGAGAGGCCCCGGGCTGTGTCCCTTCTCGGTGGAAAATGCCCATGACAGCTCCGTCTCCATGGAGATAGGACATGGCAGACGTGCAGAACAGGAAGTGGTGGGCAGCAGTGACCCTTGTGTGTAGACGGTTTCATCCAGGTGTGCCCTGTAATTGCCAAGTTTGGGTCCTGGAAACAAACCCGGCGCCGTGAGGGAAAACTGAATTAGGCTGGAACTGAAGCCCTGGAATCTGACTCAGCAAAGTGTGACTGGAACTGAAGCCCTGGAATCTGACTCAGCAAAGTGTGACTGGAACTGAAGCCCTGGAATCTGACTCAGCAAAGTGCAGGTGTTGAGAAGCCAGGGCGCGGCAGCGGCGGCAGAGCCGGAACATTCTGGCATCACACCTGGTGGGAGGGAGGGAGGGAGAGGCCGTGAAAGGTCTGATATGATGGGCAGTGGGCAGGGAGAGAGCGGGGAGGGAGTTTGCTTTGAGTGCGTTAGCAGGGAGCCCGTGGCCTGATGCCAACCATTAGGAATTGGAAACACGCAGCCAGTGGAAAGGCAGAACAGAATTTCTGAGTTAATGGGATGGAGCTGGGGGAGGGGAGAAGTCGGGAAGCAAAATCAAGGCAGGCGGGGAGGGGCAGGGCGGGGTGGGCTGTGGGGTTGAAACGGCAGTAGCAGCACCGCTTATCAAAAGCACAGACAATGTGCAGTCAGGCAGTGGAGGACACCAGGGCCTGAGCTTTCAGATGGGGCGGACTTCCCCATCCCGAGCCTGCAGGTGGGGGCCGGGCCCTGGGGGCAAAGCCCGAAGCCTTGTTAGCACTGCCTCTAAGACAAGCACCGGAACTGTGGGCGGGCGGGGTTCAAAGTGGACCTGTGCAAACTGACACGCCAAATCACCACCGGAGCAGCAGATGATGGTTGGATTGGAAGGGATGCCCGGCCGGGAGCATTTGCGGGAACAGAAAGCATCCCGGAACAGGGCGAGGTGCAGTCCACAAAGATCGTTCGTCGCAAACTTGGACGTGCCAGGAAACCTAGCAGCAAAGCCAGC